AAAATATCATTAAAATAATGAATCTGTTTTATTAAAACCTATGGTAGCAGCATCACTTAAATGATTTTTGAGAATCTTCGGAATATTTCATTTTAAACTTAGTCTTAACGTGAACTCAGTCCTCAAACATTCTTAATTTTCGTTTTCAAGTCTTCTCAAGAAATTTACATGTTATTATGCTTTACAAATCGACATGCTCATATCTCAAGCTAACAACAACACTAAATTTCAATCAAGTTTTAAAAAATAAAAAACATGCTTACTGTACTATATATGTCATCATACAGTGATATTAATGCTGTACCAAATTGCTGCAGGAATCTGAAGTTTACAGAAGTACGGCAGAATGCTATTGAGGTATTATTTAAAACATGTTCCACAGGCACGTGAATTTCGGTCATATTTTTACTTCCTTGTATGAACTGAATGGAAATATTGTGATGGCGGAAAATTTCGGGTGTCATATTTCAATGAAAATATTCATTTTGACCGCTCTGAATTCCATTTGAACGATGCTTTTTCATGACACCTGTACGTACCGACAGAATAAAGGACTGTTTTACCCAAAACGGATTGTGAAAAGGATTTAAAATGGACTCAGAAGAGATTTTTTTCATGACTTCTGCACGTACATACAGATACATACATGCGTACTGTATATCACATAACTCAAAAAACGAGTAGCCTCAGAATGTTGAAATTTTGTATATGCTATAACATGTAGATGTGCACCTCCCTTTTTGGTTGCAATCGGCCGCACCAAAGGTTTTTAAACATATCATATATATATATATATATATATATATACCCACTCTGTTAATAGTTGTAGAATTATCAACAGTTTAAAAGTTGCCACTAAGCATAACGCCGCCGCCAGTTGTTTATATTTGAAACTTAGTAGAATAGTGAATTCAGTTTCTGCACCAGCTTCAGTGTCTTTTTACCGAGAGAAGCTCAAAGTAAACTTTCAGTTTTGTGCACCGAAAAATCTGTCTTTCTGCCCAATTTTAATTAATTTATAATTTTAATTGTAGAAATTGTTTTTTTAATGGTTTTTAACTTTTGTTTTCTTAAAGGTGTTTTAGGTTTTTCTTTATTTTACAATTTTTAATGAAGATGTTTTGAGTTTTTATGTATTTTTCCCTCGCCGCGAAGTGAGAATTGATTTGATTGCGAAAGAAATATTTAGGAGAATTACGTTTAAATGAAATGAAGCAAAAAATTTGCATAATTTAATAGGCCGTACAAGGAAGTCATTTGGTATCAACATCAGATTTTTTTTTTTTTTTTAAATTTTTTTATTTAACGTTGATCCTGAATAGAAAAGCTAAAATGGGAAGATTTTAAAGAAATTTTATTGAGAAATCCTGAAAGGAAAATAACCTGTACAACAGCGATAATGTTATATGCAGCTGGTCAGCGGGACCTATGGATTGACAGAGGCAGTGCAATGTTTCATATAATGGTAACACTTATCAAAGCAAATAGATGATAAAACACATAGTAACGTAAGTAACTATGCATTTTACTTACATTAACTGTGCATATGCAACGTAAATAACTATAAGTAACATTCCAAAAATTCTGGTAAGTATCCGCTAAGGTGGTTCCTAATGCCCCCAGTAATAAATTTTCAATAATATTTCAGTTATTTTCGAATTCAGTATCCCTGAAGGTTTTCACATTTACAGGAATCAACACTTTTTTTAATGACATTAATTCTAATTTCCTTATTTTGACTTTTCCAGTTTGATTTTTTTGGGGCTTGATAGATGGTGACATTTTTCACTTCATTAATCTTTTTCGTATTTTCTGGCTATTTATTTAATCGTCAAGATTATAAATTTTTGTTGCTGAAAAAGATGAAAATGAATGAATCCAAAAAATGTTTTTGGAAGGAAGGGACCTAATTTTACATATTTACTTTTTTAATTTCTCTAATTATAAATCATAAGAATTAAATGTATTACTCAAATCAAATATACCGTATTACATCTAATTCGTATGATTTATAATATATTTAACTGATGATAAACATTTTCACCATTTTATGATTAATAAAAAATGTTTCTTACGTTATACATAATGCGCCCTCTACTGCGGACTATCTGCCTTAGTTGACATCTTCTAAAAGTGACTAATATTTCTAGGAGGCCCATCACTGGCCGAGCGGTAAAATCGCTGAACACTAGTCGTTCGTTCCGAGGATCGCATCCCGCGAATTGCTGGCTGCATGGCGTTTTCCGCATGTGTAACGTGTTTCCCTTAGAAAGTTTTCCAAGAAGGCATCCCTCCCTATAGGCAGGTAGCCCTCAAGTGCTTTGCTATAAACAAATAAACCAAAATAAATATTTATAAGAACATAAATACATACTAGTATTGATAATTATTCCAATATTCCTTCTGTGAGCGAACTACTCGCTAACGATTGAGAACACCAGATATGTTTATTTGTAGTCATAAATTTTTTTTTTTGAATTTGTAACATAAAATAGAGAATTTTGAAGTTTTTCAAACATCATTTGATATTTTATAGTTATGCAATTAATATGAATGATGGATTTTTAAATCGAAAGATTTAATCTTTTATTGCTGGCAGCCCCGTTACTTTAATGGACGGTGAGATCGAATTTCTAAATCAAATCAAAATTTAAATGAATTGAATGTATTTCCAAATTAGAAAGAAACAGTTTTCTGTGTTCAGATGTAGTGATTTCTTTTTTATATAACTTTCCCCCATTTTATAGATTAAAAATAATAAAATAAATTTCACAATAAAAATCTTTCTAATTACGGTGTTCTTTGAATGCATTAAAAAGGAATAAATAATTTTTTTCTACCAAAATATTTTTGATCATATGTGACTAAATCGTGGGGTTTCTATATGCGTATTATTTTAGAACATCAACAGAATACCAAAGAATTACAGAAGTGATAGTATAGAAATAACGTATATGAGAATAATTGGATTCAATTCGTTTAAATTTCTCTTTAATTATTAGCAGTTTTTGCTGCAGAAGGAGCTACAGGATAAGTCATTATATTCCAGAGGGAAAGATTCTTTTCTCTGATGCTGGATAGAATTTTGTGGCGAATTTATTTATAACAGAGGATCAGGTTTTTAAAATTGTCTACAAATTTTTCTGTTATCTCTATCAATATGTTTTTATAAAATTGTAATAATGTGAGTCCATTTTCAAAGTAGCTTATTTTAGATAATTTTCCCCCAGCGATTTGCAATATACCACTTTCTAAATTCCAACATGAAATTGTTCTACTATTAATTCTATCTGTAAAATTGACATAAACAGATTGGGTTAAGTTAGATTATTTAAATACGGTGAGAAAAGCTACAAATTCTGTTTAGAGGTGAATGCTTTCGTAGAAGATTTTCTTAATAAAAAGCACAATAAAAAAGCACTAATTCGAATTCACACGTAATAAACACATGAGATGTCCAAATCTTTGTATCTTCTGTCCAAGTAAAAAGAAAGATAAAGCATAAAGTCACATGTTTTTGAGAAAATATAGTGACAATAATGCGTTTTAAGGGAATTTAATTGAACGTTATGATGCACATTTTTGCTACATGCCGAGTCATAGTTGCTAAATAAAAATTTAATTTTGTTTAAAAATAATTTAAGATTTAAATTTTAAAAATAGTCTGAAAGAGTTCGGATTTTTAACGATCGCCCAAAAGAATTTCTTAAGATTTTTTACACTCTTGATGAGCTCGCTATTAACTAATGTGCTGTTGCACTTACTCCTGCTGGCTTTGTTATTAAGCACATTTTCTTCGCCATATAAGTAATAGCAAAATTGCAAACATTTTAAAAGCAGCATAACAGCATACGTTTTGAATTTCCGATGCAGTATTAAGTGTTTGCATACTTTTTTTTTTTTCAGTCTTTTCTCAGCATATCAATGCTCAGTTGTCTTAGTAAGATAGCATGCAAACTTTTTTTGTGCCTTTTTATTATTAACTTTTTGTGTATTAACTTTATTTATTAAATATTGCGTTCTTCGCACTTACGTGATATAAACTTGATTTCAACAGCAGAATCACAAAATATTTAAAAGCAGCTTATCTTCGAAATTTTCGGCAGATAGTCTCGCGAGCTGGAGATAAAAATATTTTATTCCGTGCAGTGTTGCCACTATTTGCTTTGATATCGTTGAGTTTGTTAAAAAATTCATTAAAGTTTTTCAAAACATGAAATATAAAATTCGAAATTTGGAATTCAGGCTTCCAGGAGCACATGATCGGGTGGAGGACAACATTATTCAAAATTTATTGGCTCTAGGTACCGTCGTTTTTCACAATGTAAGGAACGTACATGCATGCATGCAGATTCTTCATTATTTAATTTCTTTAAAGATAATGCAGAAAGAAATTATTTGGTTGCAGCATTTTGAAAAATGATTCGCCGTGTGTAGTGGACGACGCAAAATCCCGTTTCGAGACTCATTCGGGCGAACGTCCTTTTGGGCTGAAAAGTTTCTATAATATATATATTTGACTTTTTTGGGGAAAAGAGCTTACAAATACTTTTTGTAATTTTTATGTTTGTGGGCAGTAATTTTGTTTTAGTTTGAACAGTAGATTCTTCGAGTTTAAATCAATTCATTATTATTAAAAAATAATAAAGAAATAAATAAACTCGGTTACTTATAAATCTCTCTCTCAATATTTGCATCCTATTTGTAAATTATGTAAATTATAATTTGCATTGTGAGTTTAGTTAACTAATTTAAATGCTTACAAATATGCAAGGTGCAAATTACATATACATATTACTACAAAAATTTCCTTCACCGTATCTCTTGCTTGCACAATCATCTTCTTGTGGCATTACGTGGCTGTTGAAAAGCCGATTGCTAAATTCTACTCAGTGACTCACAACTTTTTGGAAATGGAGAACAAAATGAGGCGGAGGGGGAATGAGACAGCATATGCAAAAATAAAAATGAAAGGCTGTGTTAACATTCGTCATCAGCGAACTGCGGCAGGTAAACGCCTGAGACAGTTTGGCGGTAGCCAGCGTCAAACAGTCGCATCTAAAATACAATAAAATGTAGAGAATCGCACGCGTTTCTAACTTCCGCTCTCATGTCATCGAAAAAACCCGCTACGTCCTGAGTAATTCTGCATTTCCGCTCTCTGCGAGGAAGTGGAGCAGAGAGGTCTGTAGCTGAGTTGCGAATGTCGTCTGCTCGTTGAAAAGGCTTCATTTCGCCGCTCGAACGCAGGCGCGAAAGTGCGATTAAATCGAAGTGCCTTGAATTATAAATTTTATTATTTTTATATAAATATATATAATTACTGCTATGGATTTGTAGTGCCAATGTATGGAAATCTTGCACAAGTTTGTTTGTGCAGTTGGGATTCTAACATGGTAAGTTTGCAACAGCATTTCCTAAAATTCTTCCATCCGGTGTTTTCTTTTTCTCTCCCCCCCCCAGAAAACGAATATTTTATCATCGTTCGCATTATCTTTTCAAATAAAGAATTAATGTGCTCCTAATTTGCTTTGTATTAACTAAAACAATAAAATGGCAAATGAATGTTCTTAAAAATTGTTTCAAATTGCTGTTCAAAATATATTTATTCATCAACAAATTAAAAATGTAAATTTAATTATTATTTTATTCACTACGATTATTGCATAATCTAAAATAAAGTTTTTATAGCTTTTATATGCAAAGCTAAATTGCATATGTTGAAAAATAAAAAAATAGTTTTTGCATTATTAAATTACGAAACGTTTTGTGAAATAATTCATGCATTTTTGGAATTTGAATTTTCTTATAGAGCAAGTTCTAGAACTTGCTCTATAAGAAATTTATAACACAGTAGTGAATAAACATTAAAATAAAAAATTAAATAATTAAAATAAAGAAATTGATCATACTTGCTAGAAATTTATTCTCGCAACCGTAAATGTCGCTGTTAAAGAAACAGACAGCAAAGTTTTATTTATAAAAATTCTTTGCTTGTATCATATTATTAATTACTGAGTATTCTTTTTACCAAAACCTATCACCTTATTTAATGATAAAATTTTTTATAAGAATCAATGAAACTACAATCATGCTGTAATTGTTTTATAATTTTTAAAATCTAATCACAATGTTATAATAATGTAGAAATGTATGACAGAGAAAATACTAAGTCCCAAATGATATTTACGTTTTTGATACAACAGAAGTTCTGCAATGTTTATTTATATTTATTTCTATATGCAGCACATGCTGCTTTTGAATTATATTGTATATAAACATTTATGTGTGTTTATATTTTATGCTTCAATTTAATTTAAATGCATTTTACATATTATCGGAGATCGGAGATCATCATTCGTTAAGTGGTATTCGACCCGAAGGCCTTTACCACTACATGTTTATCAATCCCCTAAAATCCCCTGTAAAAGTTCGTTAAACTCCATAAAATGGTAAAGTCCTGTGCACTTGTAATAAAAGTGCAAAGTATTCAGTAGTGAAGAAGTTGATCAGGGGTGACGTCATATATCGGCCACAGATGAAGTATTCGTTGGATAAACAATAATAGCAACTAATAATTTTGGCATATCTTTTCGCAATGGCATATCTTTTACACATTATCGTAGATTTGACATAGTATCGTACAGTAAAAATGGAAAATAATACGCATATACAAGTCTCAGAAATTTTTCTACTTTCGTCTGAGGCGAAAGTACTAAAATCTTCATATTCATAGGGAAGTAGACTGTCACGTGGTTTGTCCGGTACCAAGTCAGCAGCTTTGGTACCGGGCAAAGTCCATAGTAAGATGAAAATGATGATAAAGATGAAACAAAATTTTACATATTAAAAAGTCTGATGTGGACACCACGTGACTTCCTGACATGGTCTATTAAATCACACTTTTTACTGCACTTCATTTAAACTTATTTCCTCGAATTATTTTTACTTAATTATCCGATCCCTCGAGGCAAGTTGAAAATGAAAAATTTTTGAAAATTTTGAAATTAAATATCCCGGTCAGTTTTTGACATATGGGAGTCAAAAATTCTTGTATTTTTATTTTTCCATAACGAATATAAAACTTTCCAAAATATAGGAACCAGGAGACCGCATTAAAAGTTGAATTCCGTAATTTGTCCAAAGTTATTATTATTATTATTATTTTTAATTTTACATTGCCAAAACATAAATATTTTCGCCATTTAAAACACTTCTGTAATTGGAGGTATATGACTACGACTAACAAATTGCGATAGATATGTATGTGTGTGTGTGTAAGATATAAAAAAATGCGACACCTTCTTTAAAAAATAATTGGCGACCTCAAAATTAACATTCTAAATTTGGTGCTGTCCCCCTAAATTCATCTGTTCTCCCAAATTCGAGAATCTTTTATGATTATATAACAACCTCAAATTAACCAATCATAGCTTAGAGTACTTTCTGCATATAAATACCGCTCGGAAATAAACTGCGTCACTCTTTTCGTAACTTCTACCTTGCTAATAGCTCCTCGCTTTGCTTCCCCGTTTAAACTGTCATAGAAATGTCTCGGATTTCATTATGATTGGATAAACATCTATGGAGGTGATTTTACGTGCGTGGAAATAAAGACTAGAAATTCTTCAAATCTATGTTTTATTATCTTCATCTATAAGCCTTCACTCTCAGCTACGACGACTGCAAGCTGATTTTTCTTCTATGCTTCCCAGAACTATGATATAATATTAGGCAACGATCAAACTGGCAATGAGCTTAAGTAATATGTAAATATATATATGATTACAATAAGAAAAGGGGGTGCACAGTTAGATATTGTAACAGTCCCATATACAAAATTTGAGCGTTCTACGGCTAATGGTTTTTAAGTTACGTGAAATACATATGTACGTACGTATGGGTACAGACATCACGAAAGAATCCATTTCGAATCCATTTTACAACCCATTTTAGAATAAAGAGTTTTATTCTGTCCGCACATTTAGGTGGCACTCAAAAAAAAAAAAAAAAAAAAAAAAAAAAAGTCAGAATGGATTCGGTCAGAATGCATATAAACCTGATAACCGAAATTTTTCGCGATTACAATAATTACAAAGAAGTAAAAAGGAAAAAGACTTTATTAAATGGTTGTGACTGAGGTATTTATAATAATGAATACCACAAACAATCAAAGCTATGAAATACATCATGGTTCTTTCATTTGATATTTCCCTTTAAACATCTTCCGATGTTAAAATTCGTCTAAACATATCCATATTATTTTCAAATGTTAACATTACGTATTAAGAAAAACAAATAAAACATGCCATGTTTTGGATTTATATACTTATGTTTCATATTGAAGATTTTTTTTTTTTGGAAGAAACAAAAGACAAAGTACACAGAGCAGTCGCGCAAGCATATTTTACCTCATGGTTCTGTTAGTTAACTAAAACATGTCCAATCTTGCTGCATATTCATTTACAGAAGCTAAATCTGCATACTTCTGCAGAGAGTAGTGGTGAAAACGAGGCAGAAAAGGAAAGAGTAAAGATAAAAATCTAAACTGTTAATTTAAATCTAAAATAAAATCTTACTTTATAAAAATGTCTTAGTGTATAATTAAAAAGTTTTCAAAAATTATGAAAATATATGGTTTTTATTTCTTTGCATATGGTTAACCACATTTTGCCTTGCGGATTAGCAACTCTATTGGGAAATGTTTAACGTTTTCAAGTAACATAATCATAAAATTAAATCTTGAAGTTCATATTAATGAAATTCAGAATGAAGTTTAAATTTTATTGATACAGAATAAAATAATTCGTTACTTTTCTAATATTAATTGCCATCTCATTTTAAATGAGAGTAAAGAATTAAATGAATTAATTTTGGCTGAGAAAAAACTTTTAAATTATGAATACAAAACAACTTTAGAATCATACGTTCTTCTAGCATGTTACCGCTTTGGATAACTAAGTAAAGACTAAATCAAAACTTTAATAAATGTGAACGTAGGAAACAACTAATATTATTATTAAGCATGGCTATTGGAATTGGTTAATCATTTGTATATTTATTGCTGTGCTACTTGGCTTTATCTGTAATCTGTTGTTTTATAACATGCCCTTTAAACCCATTTCTTCTCTCTAAACGATGAATCGTAATTAAAGAAATGACAGCTGCGGAAAAAGGTCGAATCTCGTAATTTGCTAAAATCTCTTAGCTACTTCTATGGGGTGATGACGACACAGGTTACGATCGCAAACGAGAAAAGGAGTGTTTTGACCTTGAACCGCCTATTTTAAATTAACATACTATAGTAATATCGTACTTTTAGTGCAGGTAAAATGATAAACGGTTAGTAAATTACTAATATTAATTTGTTCGGCTTTGAGCGCCATTTTAATCTTCGAGCCTACGAGCGCTTCGAGCTGGTAAGTTAAACGTAGAGAGATGTAACGAAACCTAAATTTTGTCGAATATGAATCCGAAATATAAAAGATTCTTGTATCTTTCTTATTTTGAATCTCTCATATCCTTCGTGAAAAAATAACAACGAGTAAGGGAAAAAATAGCTTAATAGTAAAAAATGTTGATTAAAGTAAAGTTTGAAAACCACTTTAAAAAAATAAACAATATTGTTTTTAAAAAGATAACCACATTTATTTAGAAAATGTGAACGAAATTTAGTAAGTGAATTAATTAGATAAAACTCTTGAATCTTGCGTTTCCTCTTTTCAGCATAATTTGGAATGTGGTATGTGATAATCTATTCGAATTCTCCATAATTTTGCATATTGTTTTAAAATCAAGTGCTGTGGGGAAAAGATTATTTCGGAAATTTTTAGAGGTAACTACTGAGCATGGAAGGCTAAGGTTTCAGATTTCTTTATGGTAAATTAAGAAAAATCAAAAACTTGTTTAGTTGAAGAGCACAACTGCGGTATGGCGCTCAGAAACGTCCTGTGGTTCATATTAATGATTCAGGTGCTGGAATTGAAGCAATTAACTTATTTTTTAATCAGTGCTCTTACTGGCCAATAAAACTAATCCGCCAAAGTTTCGAATTAAAACAGTTAACGGGTTTTTTGGGTTAGGATTTCAAAGATTTGAATGGCGGAAAAAGCCCAACCATTCGATCGTGTTTTAGTTTCTTAAAGTTTTCCAAAGTTTTCACTGAAAGGTTTTTGTTTACTTCTAATATCAAGTATCTGATGTGACTACATGACTTCCTTGTACGGCCTATTAAATTATACGCAGTTTTTGCTGGCACTTCATTTAAATGCATCTCCTTGAATTTCATTAGAGATATATTTTTCATTCAATCAATTCAGTTTTCATTTCGCGGCAAGGCAAAAATACATAAAACCTCGAAGCACCTTCATTAAAATTTGAAAAATACGGAAAAAAT